ATTAGGTGCAGAATTGGTCAAATTAGGTGCACTCCGCCGGATAAACCGTCGTAAAACGGCTAATATTTCTAATAATGATCGATATTCGATAGTTATTGCTACCTAGATGCTTCACTTTGACGACTATTTATCTAGTACTCGTACACACTATTGTGTATTTGATTAAACCATCGTCATGAGACTATTGAATAGGTAGGTATAAGATAGGTAGAGGTACCTATTATTCAATGAAAAAATCACTTTAATTATTGTTCGAAGCTAAAATCCTCACCAAATACCAAGCCGAGGAGCTGATGTTTCAGCTTTTTTTTACGTTTTCGATATATAAAATCGCCTGTTAGCTCGATATTTGACGATTTTTCCAAATTTTATTACTTGACGATTCCGCCAAATTTTATTACCTTCCCGGGCATCAATTTGACACCTTCACACAAAATTTCAAGTCTTAGGTCACCTTAGGTCAGGAGTTATTGAGGTAAAACTGAGGTCATGTTCGAGCAAAAATGAGCAAATAGCATGCAATCTTGAAACGCTCACCAAATCTACAATTACCAAGCAATTTCAAAGTTCTTTAGGTATATGGTCATGTAGACAAAAAGTGGCGCTACAAAACTGTTATCTCGGATTTTCAAAATTTTGGGTTTTTGACCCCCAAGAATTAAAAAATTGATTTTTTTAGAAAAACTAAAAAAAAATCCAAAAAAATCTTATTTCAAAAAAAACGGAATATATGTGATAGTCCCTGCGCTTTTCTATATACATACCAAATTTCAGATCGATATCTCGCTTTTTGGCCAAGTTATAGCGAACAAACTGTTCAAAAATGATGACGTCAAATTTTTTAACTCAATCTTTAGCGATTCTAGAACACGTAGGGCAAAACAAAGACCACCATTGCACCCATCATGCACCCCGTGACGAGCTGCATCGAATCGATACCCATTTTATGCAAAAATATCAACTTTGAAATTTGACCTTATTTGACCTGACCTTGACCTGACCTTCACCAGAACATAATCTAAACTGACCCCAAAGGCTGCCTGACCCACATAATCGTATTTGGCATAAAATGTACCATAATACATGCATCACATGATATTTTCATATTGTGACCCTCAGTGACCTGACCTCTGTGACCTGACCTGGTATCAGTGACCTCAAATAGCAAAATATGTGTTTGAAGAACATTCTCATCGATGATTTTCAATGAAATGCATTTTACTCGATTTTACAACACATTTCTTGAAATGCCTGTAAACGGTGAAAATTCGACCTTTGACCTGACCTGTGACGTCACCGGTTTGACCTAGGTCAATGAAATTGGGTCACAAGGTAGCTCCCTGATGGGGCTATCCAACACCGTTTGCTGCTTGTCGCTAGGTTGCGTGGTTCTCGAGATCTTAGGGGGGGGAGCCAAATTGCCCCCCCCCCCCCCCCAAGAGGGCGCGTTGCTCGGCAGAGCCCAACGGGGCGTAGGTTATTTACCAAATCAAGCGCACCGATGGGACAGGACCCAGCCGGAGGTCCGCGATGTGCTGCTCGCTGTTGTGACGCGCTCGGTGTGGCCCTGTTTCAGCGATGGACGCGCTGACGGAGCCGGCCGTGTGCCGGTGTGTGGCCGAGCTGGTGGCGCGCCTCCACTGGGGCTCGGTGAGTCTGCAGGCGCCGCCGGGCGCGGCGCTGCTGCTGGCGCCGCTGCTGCTGGCCGTGGCGCGGCGCGGCGTGTTCGTCTCCGTGGCGCCGGACGCCGAGCGGGCCGCCGACGGCGCCGTGCTGACGACCGACTCGCTGGCCGCCGTGGCCAACGGGCGCGGCCGGCCGCTGCTGGTGCTGGCTCTGCGCGGCACCAGCGAGCGCCGGCTGGCCGGCCTGCTGCGCCCGCTCGGCGGCGCGCTCGTGTACGACGTGCTGTCGGGCGCCGTGTACCGGACGGCCCGCTACGCCGACGTCGGTCCGCCGGTGCAGCGGCTCGGCACCTGCCATCGGCGCGGCGTACGGCTGAGCGACGACATCGGCCGGCCCTCTCCGATCGGCTGGCAGGACCTCCGACTGGTCAACACAACAATCAAAGCAGTGGGATACAAGTCGTTTAAACATATTGGTGACTTTGGCCACGGTTTAACTCTTAGCCTGACTGATATGATGACTGTATTGGAAAAGGTCATGCTTTTTAAGTTAGAATATTTGAATTCTCGCCAAATGACCTTCGCCGAGTCCCTCCTTAACATCAGAAACGGTAGCATTCACACAGCAGTCGATTACTTTATCAACACTCCGGAGCGACTTCCACATCTGAGATTCCCCTTATACCTGGGTGAAGTGCACATCTGTCTGTTCTTCGGTCAGCCGCCTGCCGTCAGCCGCGCGTCGCTGCTGGGCGGGCCGTTTGCTGAGGCGGCTGGACGGCTGCTGCTGGTCGGCCTCACGCTGCTGCTGGTGCTGCTCAGCTACCTGGCCATCCGCGGCAGCAGCGGCGGCCCGGCCGGCAGCTGGCTGCAGGCGGTGGCGCTGTTCAGTAACCAGGGCCTGGCAGCGCGGCCCGGCCGGCTGTGGCAGCTGGTGGCCGCCGGTGTCGGCTGTCTGGCCGCCCTGCTGACGGCGCAGCTCTACACGGCCGGCCTTCTCAGCCGCGTCACCACGGAGGTCACCGAGCTGCCGTTCAAACAGCTGGACGGCGTGCTAGACGCGCCCGGCTGGCAGTGGGGCTACGTCAAAAGCGGCGCCTTGGAAGAGCTCCTGCCATATTCATCCCGCCCCGGTGCTGATTTCGCCGGGAGAACTGCTGCCATCATGAACAAGCCATACATGAGCTCCCCATGGACCTTTTTCGAGAAGAGCGAGCGAGAGAAGTTCGCCTTCTTTTACGACGATCAGATGATGGCTAACAGGTGTAGCTGGAAGTCTTGTCCGAAGCTCTGCTATCATCCTCAGATACTGGCTACGGTCAAGTACTCTGTGCCGTTTCACCGTGATGATCCGACCATCCCCGCCTGGTACGTGGCGTTCCTTCGTCTGTGGGAGACGGGCGTCTGGTCCCGTCTGAAGCGCCAAAACGAACCGAGACTGGAGGGAGTGCAGCTGGCCTGCGACGTCGAGCCGCGGCCTCGGCAGCACTACGCGCCGCTGGGGCTGGAACAGTGTGTGGCCGCCTTCACTCTGCTTCTGGGCGGCATAGCTCTCTCGTGTGGTCTCCTGCTCTGTGAGATGGCGATCGCCAGGCTTAGAAGTTGTTCATACATCACGTGCAACTGATTTTAGGTCCAGGCTGAAGTGACTGTTAAGTGTTGAGGTCCCACGATTGGTCTGAGAAAGTGTGCTGATATGTAAGGCTGCTTGCATTCATGATATGTAATAGTGATGTCAATTAAGGAAAATCGTGATATCGATACCAAACCAAATACCAACAATACCCATGGAAAAATACCGAAACCGAACCGACTTGGGAATATGAGGGAAATACCAACTTTTTACCAAATTCTCGGTCCCTTTTACATTAGAGAGGATTCATAACACCAACAAAATACCAAATGTATTCGCCTTGAAATACCAAATACCAAGTTGGTATCGGTTTGGTATCGGTATACCTGAAATTTGGTATCCGATTGACATCTCTTATATGTAACATGGAAGAGATAAAAATGAGCTAGTCGGTAGGTACATGCCGATGCCCACGAAGACAGCGACATATTTGTATAGCAATTAAAATCGCATTCCGCGACCCTTGCAATTTCGCTAAAACTCACACAGGACATTGCTATGCGGCCCTCACCGCTCACGGGCCTCATCAAAGCTGTGCAATGTCGTCCAAGTATAGTTATTTTCCGTTTCGGAGTCCGGCAACCGGCCGACAGCCGGTGGTCGGCAATCGACGGCATACAGATTACACAGGCTACATATGTGTCGGCGTGAAAGATACATATAAGAATCGAATGGACTTTAGAGACATCCGGGAAGATAAAGCAATGTTAGCATCATCTGAGCGACGCTGCAACCGATGTTACAATGTTTCGAAATTTGGTGTCGTTCAGAGCACAATGGCATCCTCGCGTTGCATCAACGTCAGTCGTCAACACGTCGTATGGAAACGGGAAGATGAGCTATGCCATAACAATGGCACTACATACAAGATGTTTATCTGCAATTACACAACACACCATCATATCTGACCCGCAGAAAGCAGGGTGCGGTGATGTGCTTCACTCATCAATCCGACTGTGATGGTCCGCAGTCTCCCGGTGCCAGTCACGGCCCTGTCAATGGCGCAACGGTCGTTAATAATGGTGTCCGTCTCTGACCAGCAGAAGGTCTCACTGGCGCGGCGACTGGACTGGGACACACGTAAACCCGATATTGGTATCTTTGGATAGGTCACCAGCCACACAAAGACGGCGGTGTCCCAGTGATAGCTATAGGCTGTAGCTGTAGCCATAATGGAAAATTGCACTATCTGGCTGTTTTGTGATGTATGTCAGTTTCACTCACGCATACCTACCTACATGATCTTTAGTGATGTACTGATGTAGTGATGTACTGATGACATGATGTACTTTGCCATGATTGACATCATGTCAATATCTCATGTCTGATCACTCCATGCATGCCAAATCCAGCCTTCATTTTGAGAGGCTTTATGTTTCGGCTTTCGTGTAAATACATTTGATTCCCTAGTATATACATTATGGTATTATTTGACATGTGTACGTACCTAACTACACACCAAACCCATGGGTATCCAACTCTTTTTGGTGCCATCTTCTTTTTGCATTTGTGCAGTCCTGGGAAAGGCATTATATTGTGTTTCATATCACCCTAACTTATCACTCGCTCGCGTTATCCCACGCACTCACAGAGCCGCACTCCCGGCTACTGTCCCCGCACTACACGCACGCGCTCAGTCTCTGCCTGTCCCAGTCTGCTCGCCACGGTCGGTACCTCGCACCTGTCGAATTTTCACCGCGCGCGGCCGTGGCGGCGCGGCGCGGCCGCCGGCAGCCGGTCAGTCGTCCGCCGCTGCTCGTGCTGTGTGCTGTGTCCGCCGGCTGGTGCCGCCATGGGGTCCAATTCGTACCGAGTGGGGGGCGGGTGCTCGCCCGGTTCGGCGCTACGCTGCGGCAGGAAGAGCCGCTTCGGATGGATGCAGCATGTCATCACCGTGCTGGCCTTCGTACTGTTCGTAAGTAGCGAATTAACATAGCACAGGTAGTTTTTTTGTATTTACATTTAAGAGCGATCCACATATAAAGTGCGTGGCGATTAGGGGAAGCGGGGGTAACACCGCCACTGTGGGAAACACCGCCACCCCATCTGGTGGCGAAAGTATGAAATGTGAAGTGTAAAAATCCGTTATTTCCTATTGACCGCACGAAGGTAAGCGTCTTCTGATTTGTGTTCCGGTGTTTCAGTGTAATCGAAGCTCAATGTGGGCATTTAAAGAAAAATGCACATTCTCTTATAAAAATTCGATGAGTTGGGAGCACTTTTGAATGTCTTTAAGTAGAGACTCATTTTGATTTACTTGATTACATCGAAAAATAACTGATCGGCTTTGTCCAGTAAGATAAGTTTGCTTGAACCGTGTAGTACATTCTTAGCTGGCGATTTTTGCTTGTGATCACTTATTGGGGAACACCGCCACCCCGTGGTGGTGTTACCCCAATTGAGGTTGCGGTGTTTCCTGTTTGTAGCGTGATAAGTGATGAAACTCCAAAGACACGCTTTATTTATGTTCGTAGATGTTCCTAAGTCGGGAATAAGCAGCTTATTTGATTTTTTACTTTATATTTTTCAATCATCCCGACCAAGCACTTGCCAGCTGTATAAAACTGGCAAACAGCTGATGAACCTATACCTATTTAGGTGTCCATTACCGATTATTTGCGAAAATTACCACTTACCGACAGGAAACTCATCGCACACGATCTCTGAACAATTAAAAGCTTTCGTAGGAATGGGTTGGGTTAACATCAACACCGGTGACGGGGTTACCCACACAATTTGTAGGCAGCAAATATGCAAGGTATTTTTAAAAGTCGTGATACATGAAAACCTTTTAGGAGCATGCAAAATAAGTACCTAAAACACGTGAGAAAATGTTTAAATATTGTAACCAAAACAATAACTACCAAGAGACTTCACACATATTCTCTCATTTTGGCGAAAAGCTTAGGGGGCGGTGTTACCCCCGCTTCCCCTACTGCTTGTGTGTGGCTGTTTGAAGTGGCGTATTTGTCCGGCACATTTTTGGGGGCAGCGCCCAAGAGAACTAAGAGCTCCCCCGGCACAGATATAACGTTTTGCATCGAGTTAATTTGGCGGTTTACGGTTTTCGTCCGTGCTTATTTGTCTTGCAATAATTAATCGTATGTGTCACATGACTGCGGCGCTTTATGGTTATTTGTTTGAGGCTGAGACATATACAACTTACATAGGTACAGATGCTCAGGAAATATTTCGATAGAGGATAATCCTCACACCGTTGTGCGAATTTCGACAGTCGACATGTTATTAGTCATACACTATACATACGCGGCCATACCCATTATACAACGCAGAACGCTTGTGAACAAAAAGAAACATAAGCAATGAACATGATGCAGAAAATATTTGTTTTTGCATATCAGGTAAAAGTTTTTATGTTACATCGCTCATCGCCCTGCTCAGCTGCAGTACCATATTTTCAAAATAATGATCGATCGTGAACCTTTAAAAACTCCAGTCACCATTATAAGGCACCATCATTTTCAACGCCATCAATCCTTCAAAATAAAATAGCCCCGTCTGAGAGGCGTCTGTTCTTCGTCTCGGCACGCTGAGCTGAGCACCACTGAGCTATATTTACGTCAGGTGGTGCACATTGTTCCGGCATCCGACCGTGCTGCTATTACGTTCTCCTCACCCGACCGTGGGACTCAATCTCAAAACGATCAATGCCATCCGCAAGCGGTTCTCTAGCACCGAGCCTGACGTGCACTGTGGGAAGGGAGGCCATTCCATGGCGCTATGTTACGGCTACACACACTGCATGTCTCGACGGTTTATAGGCCGACTTTCGCTTTTTATAGTGGTTGGAGTGAGTGCCCAGTCGGTAGTCATCACTGGCATCTACCGGGTATGCAGCATGCGCCGTGACGGGTCGGTTCGTGAGCATGAAGAATCGAGCGTACCGGCAGTCACGTCTGCAATGTCCAAGCGTGCGTGGGCATTCGTGTGAAGACCCTAACAGCCTGCCTGCTATAGGGGTGCTGAGATGCCGAGCCCGCCCATTATAGTGACCGTTATGAGTGTGTGCGTGACCTCGAGGAGGTGGCGTTTTTAGAGATAATTGAGGTATAGCTGGTTTAAATCGAGCGGAACGCATAGATATGAGTTGACCGATATGAGTTGACCGACCTTGTCAGGTGTCATCACTGGGAGCCAATTACCTACGCATGGAGTCGGATCATTGAGCTCATGGAATCTCCATATGTGTGTTACTTCCGTGTTTGTTTACGCAGACCTTATTAACAAAGATTTTATTTGCGCATCGATGATCTTCCCACATGTAGACTGTAGAGCCTTATCGGTGGAATGATAAAGTTAATTTAAACGGCTCACAAAGATTTGCCGCTCGTTTTGACAAAAGAAAAACAAGTCTCTGACTGCAGCGTTATAAACATTTTGCCTTCATTAAAGTAACAGTCGACTATTTTCATCGCAAACTACCTGGGAAGTGGTGAAAGCAATTAGCTACCATTCGGGCAGTGAAACTTCACTAGCCACTTTTCAGAGCCAATCAGAGCAAACTCGTCTAAAGATAGCACTAGGCGTTGTTCCCTTTCTCCAATCTCCCCTTTCTTCAAGCAAATCAAAGTCTGGGTTCTGCAGATGGGTTCGTGTCTCCAGCTTTGACGCCCGTCCGTTGTTCACCTATCCGTCCATTCGTCCGTCCGTCCATCTGTCCGTCCAGCTATCCAGCCGTCTGACCGCCCGATCTTCTGTTAATTCATTTGGGTGTAGGCTTTCCTCCGCATGTGTCTGTTCGTTCCTCCGCCCACCCGTTCATTCCAGCGGCCCTATGCCATGCTATCCGTCCGGAAGTTCTCCACCCGACGCGCCCAGGGTCGCCCGCGCCGGTGTGTCGTGTAGCGTCCGGATGGGAGGGAGGGGCAGGCGGTATGTGGGGGCGAGGGAGGGATGTCACGGCCCGGTGATTGCTGGGCGGCGGGTGGCACTGCCGCGGCGGCTCACCCAGGCTCATAGTCGGCGGCTCACACAGGCTTGGAGCAGGAGAGTTGGGTGTGGACACTGGACAGTCACCTGCTGACTGATTTGAAGGACCAGCCATGCTCATTAAGTCATTAGGTCATTCGGTAACTATTTTATTTTGAGTTATGATGAAAGATGCAAGGTGACAACTTCTACCTGTTGTAAAAAAATCCTATCTTGCAATTGTTGTGCGACCAAAGTGCTATTTGAAATTGAATCAAATCTGTTCAAGTGCTCATTTTCATATTTCACGAGTGAAATGCGTAATTGCTCGCAGTTAGAAAGCTGTCGCGCCGCAGTAACAGCATTGCCAGCCAGCCATATGGAACAATTTGATTTACCGCGTTATTATTCAAATGAAACTTTCCGCCACGAGCGGCGTCCCATTTGCATTCATTCAGCGATCCCAGCTGCTTTTAAACGGCCACCTGAAACGGAAAGTCGTTTCCATCGTTCACGGTCGGCGGGCGTACAAATCTTGCACGGTATGGAGCGCGGTGGTCGCTGCGTACAGAGCGTTTCCCCTGCCGCGCGGGAGGCAGGACCTGCGGCGGGCGCGGGCCATTCCGCGTGTGATCTCACCTGTGACAGCTCACCTACTCACGGCTCAGTTGGCCGTGACGCCGTGGAGAAACCGGCAGCTACTGCCGGCCGCGGTATCATAGATGGTGTGATGACCGACACACCGGATCAGGCCGGGCGGGACCGCACTCAGGCGGTGCATACAAACGTCAAAACAAATTGTCGATATAACTAATTTAGATAATCGCACTAAGGCTATATATATATATATATATATATATATATATATATATATATATATATATATATATATATATATATATATATATATATATATATATATATCAGTGATTTTGAACAGATCACTGAAGATTGTGGAAGTCCAACGTTACGTCACTTTGTATCAAAATAACCGCATTGATGCTTGAAGTCACTTGATGCTACGTCACTTCTCAAACATTTTGGAGCATTAACAGTAGCATAATTCAAGAGAACCCTATACTTATGCGCTGTGAAGGGGGGGTAGCAATGTGCATGGCTTCAAACTATTCGTTGGAGGGGGGCATTGATATGACCATACCTATATATATATCGAGTGTTTATTCTCAATAGGGTCCATTTTACCGAAACAATGCATATCGCGTGATTTTTTAGTCATGAGACAAAAAAAAAATAGTTATACCTGGTTGAGAAAAAATTTACACATTCGATACAATTTATGTGATCATGATATAGTGCTATACATGCTGCTATCGTGCCCAGATCTAAAGAAACTTGTAATACATGCAGGAGGGTCTCGAGTGAAACTGGCCGTCAAAAGTAGCCTCTGCGCTTGGGTGCGCTAATCAGCAAACAAAGCGGTTCGGCCGGCCGTGAATAGTTTAGTGTTCCGTGACTAATTACGAGCACGTCCCGTGGTGACCAGCACACGCGCTAAACCAGCACAGTGAACTGCGTCCGTACGACGTTGCCATTGTGTGAAACTATCATATAGCATTGGCAGTTTCAAGCCATGATTCTTAGGAACAGACAGACAGTTTGGTGCACTGCGAGCATTGTTTCAAGCATCAAAACGGCGTCATTTCACGGCGTGGTCGTATACGATATGGCGGACATCATAGCATGGACAGCGGAAATCATACCGATCTACACAGCTGGAGGAACAAGTGACAAGCCTTTTATTAGCCCAGTTTGACAGAGACCAACAGTAACGTTGCAACCTGAGCCTTTCAGCATATTTTACCCCTTGCGACGTGTCCATCGTTCGTAGTGACAACTACCTATCGTACTTCTGATGCAGACAGGGTCCGCACTAAAGTGGATAAGGGCGGTACTTGAGAGGGCGTGGACGCGTACGGTCGACGTTGGTTGATGTCACGCACCTCTGACCTTTGTGGTTTGGGTGTG